CTGGAGCGGAGCGTCACGGCTCACTGGGCAGAACCAGCTCCCTGGAACCAAAACCTCCTGCACTTGCTGGCCTGGCCCCGTGCAGACATGGTGCCAAGGCCAATCACCAAGGTGGCAAGGAAACCCCTAAGCCCTCCCCCGCATCGGATGAGAAATCGATTCAAAAGTGCCCTCCTGGGCCTTATTTCCCCCACTCACCCCACCAGCCGCAGGAGCCCAGCAGCTCCCATCTACTCCAGTGGGCCCCACCCCCTTCTCACCCTCCCCCCAGCTCTGGTGCAAGAGCCATCTCCTGTGCAACTGCTGGCCCAAGGGCACCCGTCACCTGCTCGGTTTGCGTGTCTCCTCAGCACAGCCACCTCCTCGCCTGGCCCGCGCCATCTCTGTCTTCCCCACCCTCATGGCATTTGGACTCTGTTGGCTTCCCCGCCTGTTCGCTGGCTGGAAAACCAACCGGTCCCACTGTATCTGTGGCAATTATTACTAATAAGGCAGTGCCCGGCGGTTCCATCCCCAGCTGGCACTAGGCACTGTCCCCACACTGCAAGATGGCCCTTGCCCCGAAGAGCTTACAATCTAAGCAGGTGAGACAGACAAAGGGGGAGGGGAAACTGAGGCACAGAGGGTCACCAACTGAGCTGGGAACAGAAGCCAGGGCTCCTGACTCCCAGTCCAGTGCCCTGTCCACCAGACCCCACCGCCTCCCTCTTGACGCCTGCCTTGTTGCAGGAGGTGGTTATTACCGGGTCAGAGACCGGCTAACACATCCGCCCCTTGTGAAAGTTTAACTAGGAATGGCCGAGTCAATGCAACTTTACCATGAAATTACCCCAGAGACAGATGCTGCAGTAACCAGAGGTGTCTGCACTTCTGCTCTGTGTCTTCCAACAGTGGCCATTGCCAGGTGCCCCAGAGGGAATGAACAGAACAGGGAATCATCAAGTGATCCATCCCCTGTCGCCCATTCCCAGCTTCTGGCAAATAGAGGCTAGGGACACCGTTCGCTTTTTTGACTGCCGCTGTACATGAGTGGATGTTTTCAGAGAACTCTCCACAGTGACTCCAAGATCTTTCTTGAGTGGTAACAGCTAATTTAGACCCCGTCATTTTGTATCTATAATTGCGATTGTGTTGTCCAATGTGCATTACTTTGCATTTATCAACACTGAATTTCATCTGCCATTGTGTTGCCCCGTCACCCAGTGTTGTGAAACAGCATGATTCCAGCTCCAGCAGCACCAGAACTAGTAGGGCTAAAGGACCAAGACTTGCCTTGCACGGGTAGAGGTGCCAGGCAGAGCTGTCCCTTGGGTAGGGCGAAAGTCTCTTGAACTCTGGGTAGTGCTAGAATGCCAAAAACTCTCCAAAGGGCACTAGAACTCTTGGGGGTTCTCGGATTCCAAAGGGCTCTAGAACACTGGGGATTTTAGGACTCCAAAGGGTTCTAGAACTCGTGGGGGTTCTGGGACTACAACAGGCTCTAGAACTCTTGAGGGTTCTGGAACACTTGGGGGTTCTAGGATGCCAACGGATCTAGAACTCTGCAGAGGGATTCCAAAGGTCTCTAGAACTCTGGGGGTGGGGTTGAAGAATCCAAAGGAATCTAGAACTTTTTTTGGGGGGGGGAGTCTAAGGACTCCAAAAGTCACTAACACTCTTAGGGATTCTGGAATTCCAAAAGCTCTAGAACTCTGGACCTGGGGCTTTTTCAATAAGTCCAACCTCTTCCCCACCCACCAGCCCTGGACAGTGGGAACGACTGGAAGCATACTGCCCTCTTTGCCCCCCTGTCACTGGGGTCCCCAAGGGTCTAGAACACTTGGGGTTCAGCCCTGACCCTGAGCTTGAGGTGAAATAATTCCAGGGACCGATAGTCATCACGAAATGATCACGTTTAATGAACAACCTCTCTCCTGGGTCGCTTTATTTTTTGTTGTTGGGTGTTTTTGGGGGTGTGTGTGTGTATTTTTTTGTTTGTTTTTTTATATATACATCTATAAAAAATTCAAATACAGTATGTTAACTTTTGGAATACTGGGACGTTGGGTATTAAATACTGCACTCGGAACGGGCAGGGAGCTGTCTTACAAAACAGGACCGGGGTGCGGCGGGCGTGGGGGGAGGAGAGAACAAAGGACGGGGGGTGGGAACGGACGAGCATGGGGAGGAGATATGTTTGTGTCGCTACAGTTCCATTATGAATATTTGTTTTTCAATAATAAGACAAATACAGAAACCGAGGCGCTTCCCTGTAGAAATGGAAGGGAGGTGATAAAAAGAGAGACAACCAGGCGATGGGCCAGGGGAGAGTCGCAGACTTCACCGGAGCTATCGTCTCCTCACTGATTTCGCCCGGGCTGGGGGGCGCGGGTGGGTGTTTGGAAGGTGCCGGGAGTCCAGGGCAGGCGGGCGGTGGAGGGAGGAGGGTCGGTTTGGCTGTTGTTTTCTTAGATTCCTTTTTCCTGTAAAAAAGAAAGCCCCCAATGCACTAGTCTGCGCTCGTGAAAACAGCGCTCATGTCCTGTCACACGGGGGCTGGGGGTGGGGAACCGCATCCGGGGGAGTAACCCCCCCCGGCGCCCCTCCAGCCTGGGGCTTCTGGAAGCCAGTTCAGTTCTTCAGAGCCCCCTGGGAGGAGCGAGGAGGGGGGTCGCCCCCTTACAAGGCTCATTGTGGGTTCGATGCCCCTCCCCCTTCCCGTGTGTGTTTGACACGTTTCGTCACCCGTGTTGTGGCGGCGGCGGCAGCAGAGCGCCGTGGGCGCGAAGCGAAGTCGCGTAGCATCTTTGGCATGGCGGTTTAGCTGTATGATCCGATCTCTCGCCCGGGACGGCTGGCGCTCTCCTCTGGGCGCTGCGCTGCAGCGCGGCCGGGGTTCGCGTCTCGCTGTTTGGGGGGGGCATCAGGGGAGGGGGGTAGTCTCTCTCTCTTTTTGTAAAGGCTCCGCGGTCCCCCTGGCAGTTCGGGGAGCGGGCGGGGAAACCCTCGCGGCGCGGCAGGTCTGTCCTTCTACAAAGTGAAGCGATGAAGAGAAATGTGATACGTCCGCCTTAACATGTGCAAAATAGAAGAGAAGATAGATTCAGATGGGGCGGTGGTCTCCTCCGCGGGGCTGCGAGGAGGGGATCTGCAGGCGGGGAGAGAACAGAGAGGGGGGTCACCACCTGCGCTCAGGGGGGCTCCAAAATCAGCGCACTCTGGAGCGTCCCAGGCCAGAAGAGACCCACCAGATCATCCAATGTAACCCGCTGTATATCACAGGCCACTCAACACCCAGCCTCCCCCGCACGCTGCACCCAGAACCTGGATTACAGCAAAGCGTTACAGGCCTCGGGAGCTATTGTGCGTCACAGGCAGAGACCAGGAGTGACCGAGGGGCACCAGAGCCCAACGCCTCGGCAATGGCAGGGAACTGACTAGGTGAGATAGACCCAGCTGATCCCAGCAGGTGATCCACACCCCACAGAGGAAGACAAACACCCCCCCCCAAGATCACTGCCAATCTGACCCGGGAGAAAATGATCCCAACCCCAAATCTGGTGATCAGTTAGACCCAGAGCAAGACTCACCAGCCAAGCGCCTAAGAAAGGGAATTCTCAGTGAGCCAGCATGCTCCGAATAGTGTCCCATCTCCACCCCTGGCCATCTCTGATACTTCGGACCCAAAACCCCCCAAACCCCAGAATACAATGGGGAACAAATGCCCTCCCAGAGCCCTCCAGGCAATGGTTGAAGCCCTGAAGCACACAGGTAGATTTATAGATACACAGATTGGCCCTTGCACCTATCCCTGAGGTGCCCCACTCTGCATCACAGCGAAAGGAACCCACAGGCTGCAGTCAAAGCGCGGGGATCCCAGAAATCCTGCAACTGCTGGAAATTTTGCCATTCACTTCAATGGGGTCAGGAGTTAATCACTCTGGAAAATGGAGATATCCCCTCGCTGGTAGCAGCAGGGGGTCCCTTATCCTCTGAACCGCCTCCTCCAACAGGAAGTGCATTGTTTCAAGGCTCAGTGGCTCTGAACCGTCCGTCCGTGTTCCAGGCTGCTTTGTGTGAGGAAGAGCAGTGTGTCCACACACAGCACTGCTCTCCCCTGAATGCAAAGGGAGTCACTCCCTGGGCTAAGGCGATCCCATCTGGGTGAGCGTGGGCAAGGGGCATTCAGGAGTTTGCCTGTGTGTGTGTCCACATGGGTGTGTGTGAGTGCAGACCTGTGTGAGTGTGTGCATTTGAGTGTGTGTGTGGGCAGGTGTACGATCTGTGGGTGAGTATACGTGGTGAATGTGTGTGTGTACATACAAGGGTGTGCACGCAGGCCGGGTAGGGTTGCCAATTTTGGTTGGACATATTCCTGGAGGAATCATTTCATCACATGATATAATTTTAATTAAAGATGAATCTTTAATTCCTGGAGACTCCAGGACAATTCTGGAGCCTTGGCAACCCTAAGTGTGTGTGCGCATCACTCTGTGTGTGGACGCATACGTGAATGTGTGTGTGTATGTGTGCATAAACGTGCATGTCCTTGCACGGGCATGAGTGTGCACGATTGTGTGTATGTACCTATGAGCATTCATGCACGCCTTTGTGTGCGTGCACATTTGTGTCTGTGTCTGTGCGTGCATGGGTCTGTGTGTACATCCGTGTGTACCTCACAGGCTCATCGACTTTAAGGCCAGAAGGGACGATCATGAGCCTCTAGTCTGACCTCCTGCACGTTGCCTCACCCACTCACTCCTGTAACAGACTCCTGACCTCTGGCTGCATTACTGAAATCCTCAAATCATGGGTTAAAAAACTCAAGTGAGAGACTCCACTATTGCCACTAGTTTAAACCAGCAAGTGATCTGTGCTGCAGAGGAAGGTGAACCCCCCACAGGGTCTCGGCCTATCTGACCTGGAGGAAAATTCCCTCCTGACCCCAAATATGACAATCAGTTAGACCCTGAGCATGTGGGCAAGACCCAACAGCCAGACACCTGGGAGAGAATTCTCTGTAGTAACTCAGAGCCCTCCCCATCTAGTGTCCCGTCTTTGGCCATTGGAGATATTTGCAAATAGCAGTTGCGGATCGGCCATATGCCATTGTAGGCAGCCTCGTCATACCATCCCCTCCACAAATTTATCAAGCTCAGTCTTGAAGCCAGGTAGGTTTTTTGCCCCAACTGCTCCCCTTGGAAGGCTGTTCCAGAACTTCACTCCTCCGTTGGTTAGAAACCTTTGTCTTATTTCAAGCCTAAACTTATTGATGACCAGTTTCTATCTGTTTGTTCTTGTGTCCACACTGGTGCTTAACTCCAATAACTTCTCTTCCTCCCTGGTGTTCGTCCCTCTGATGTATTTATAGAGAGCAATCAAATCTCCCCTCAGCCTTCGTTTGGTTACGATAAACAAGCCAAGCTCCTTGAGTTTCCTCTCGTAAGACAGGTTTTCCATTCCTTGGATCATCCTAGTCGCCCTTCTCTGCACCTGTTCCAGTTTGAATTCATCTTTCTTGCACATGGGAGACTAGAATATGTATGTACATGGGTGGGTGCGTTTGCTTGCTAACCTTTCTAGTTCATTTTTAAAGCTTTAAAAATTGTTCGGGAGCCTTTTGAAAATTTCCGGATGGTTTTGTGCCTCTGTTTTTGAGAAGGGCTGAATTTTTCTTTTGCTTTTTCACCTTTTCTTAAATCCAGGTCTTTTTAGATTGAAAAAAGTCGCAGTTTTTCCAAACAGAAATGTTTTGGATGCTGAAATCAACATTTTTTTCAGCCCAAATATGTTCAGTTTTCTAAAACACCATGGTGTGACTTGGCTGGCCCAGCAAATGGTGTGTGTGTGTGTGTGTGTGTGTGTGATTTCTGTTTTTGAAAAACGATCAAATTTACTCCAAAACCCCTCACCACGTTTCAAACAAACAATCTCATCACACTTGTATTTGGGACCTGGCTCTCATTTTAACTAAGGCCCCTTCCCCCTCGCTGGCCCAGCAGACGAGATCAGAGTGAAAACGCCTCTAGGAAACCCTGCCAAGCCTTCCTTCTTGAAATATCCTTTAGCTTTGATTACACTCATAACACTGACCCCCTTCCCACCCGCAAATCTGAGCACTGACACCCCCTTCGACTCAATACACCCCAACACTGACATCCTTTTGTACTGCAAAGCCCCGCCAGGAGAAACAAGACTCAACCTGTCCCCCCAAACACCAACAAATCAAATCAACCCCCCCAATCAGCACTCTGACCCCCAAAAGAGAGATAGGCCAGAGACTTTACTACTGCTCTTGATTTTACATGAAAGGCACCCAGACAGCGTGATGATGGGCAGCAGGCTAAAACAGATTAGAATAGACAGACAGACAGATGGGGGTTAGATAGATAGATAGATAGATAGATAGATAGATAGATAGATAGATAGATAGATAGAGAAGTTGTATGGAGGATAGATAGATAGATAGATAGATAGATAGATAGATAGATAGATAGATAGATAGATAGATAGAGAAGTTGTATGGAGGATAGATAGATAGATAGAGGGGGTGTATGGAGGATAGATAGATAGATAGATAGATAGATAGATAGATAGATAGATAGATAGATAGATAGATCGATCGATCGATCTAACAGGCATCTTGTGTCACCAGTGTCCTGGGCTACACCTGCACTGGCAAGGTGTGTTTTTCTCCCAGGATACCTAACGCCCGTTATCGCTGCCACTGTGCACTCCTGGAGATAAGGCTCCGTAGTGTCACTGGGAGATGAGCTAGGTGAGGCCGACCCAGCACAGGGGTCTAGTGCTGGCCTGGCCTAGCCCGGTGCCTTTTGCGGGGTAGTTACCTCACAGAGAACACACACTTCGGTGCCAGTGAAGAGCACGCCAAGGACTCTACGTACTGCCCTGCGAGGGTGACTGTCCCATTCCGGCGGCCCGCGGGTGGCTGGTTTGGCTCCAGCCCAGTGAGGACGGGGAGGAGGGAAACGCCAGAGCTGGAGAATACTTACTAAATAAACAGAACGCCAACTGCTGCCAGTACCAATCCCTCTGCCCAGGACACAGTCACGGCCCCGCTGCCAACGACGGCCTCCAGGTCGCAGATCTTGGTGGTGGGGGGTGGCACGAAGGAGGAGGTGCCGGTGGTCGTCGTCTCTGGAGCGAGGGAAAGGAACAGCCTACAGATGGGCCAAGAGGCAGCGACAGTCCAATCGCCTAGTGCACGCTTCACCTTCCCTCCAAGTATCAGGCCTGCCCCGGGATGGCACAGACGGCAGCTCCTCTCCCAGGCGAGGGCTCGCCGTGCCAGCCTGTCTGCCCCCTGCCTTTTAAAAGCCCTTTGCCTATTCGGTAGCCTCCTGCGTTGCACTGACAATACTTCCCTGGATGGAGAGAATCTGTCTGTCCCCCAGTCAACTCACCAGCTAACCTCTTGCTTTGTTAGTCTCTCTGTGCACTTGTGTATCCAGCCCTCCCTCACTGCACAAGCCCTGATTCACTTCCTCTTCACCTCCTCCCTGGCTGAAGGGCGCTGGGCATGGCTCCCGTTGCTCTGGGCACGGCCCTGGGAACTGGGCACTGGCATGAACTGTCTTCCCTCAGCCCTCCTCCTGCCCAATCCGAGGGGCCTGGTGTTCAGCCTCAGCAAGACCTCTGCACCCCCACTGGGCTGGTCTATGAGCATTGCAGTCTCCTGGGTGGGCCTCAGCGCTGCACAGCTCCTTGGGGTGCCCGGTCTTTGATGCCCGCGTCTGCCGAGGGACCAGCACGGCGCTTTCTGCAAGCCCAGCTCTGTTTGGGCCCCGTGTTACATGGAATGGCCAGCAGAGGGCACCATCCCCCCACAGAAATGTCCCCGAATTGGCCAGGGCGAATTCGGCAGAGTGGCCGAAGCCCGCTACGGGAACCAGCTGGTGTTCTGGGGAGCCGGGAGACGCAGCTCGGGCCGTCGGCCTGCCCACGTGAACGGAGAGCCACGGCCGGGCTGTGCCTCGGGTGCCCCTGCCACGCAGACCTGGGCTGGGGTGTCCGCCCCAGGTTGGAACGCGGAGGTCTCCGCTCTGGGGGGACCGGCTGGTGATAGCGGCTCTAGGGGGGTGGCTCGACTTGACTGCTACATGTGGCTGGCGTCCTCTGTGAGGGGGGTTAGAGAGAGAGAGAGAAAGCTCCTGGTGGGAGTGCCAGTTGCGTGGATGGTGATTTGGGCTCACCCCTGGGGAAATCTGGCCAGACCCATCTCCCTTTGGGGTCCTCCCCCATCCTACGATGCTCCAGATTCCCACGGGTGTGTGCTGTCTCCTGCAAGGTGGCACCAGCAGGGGGTGAACAGGGCCGTGAATCCACACAGGGGCCCAGGCCCTTGGCTGGGTCTGGGCAGAGGAATGTTGTGGCTTGGCTGGATTGTGATGAACAAGGCGCGAGCAGGTGTTGCCTCCCAGCCTGGCCTCCGGAGGCCTCGTCGCACCAGATGCACAGAGCCCCCTGACATCACAGGCCTCTGACATCACCATCAGGGTGGGGACAAGTTTCATGACATCATCAGACATGTCAGACTTCATGGTGTCATCAGGGCTGTGACTCAAGGCCTCTGACATCACCCTCACAGCACGTCATGTGCCTTGAGTCGCCCTTAGCCTCAGCGAGGCCTGTCAGAAGCCTTATGACATCGTGAGCACCGCAACCCACAAGTTTCATGACCTCATCAGCCTGCGCCCCCGGAGCAGCTAGCGCCCCCTAGCCACAGCCTTTTTTCCTGGTCCCTTGCACTGGGCTGTATTCCTGGCATACACCCCCTCCCCCCCAGCCATTCCCCTATTCCCCCCGAAAGCAGGCCCTGGGGGGCCCTAACCCAGAATTCCCTCCAGCCGATCTGGGGCCCCCATCTCCATAGCGCTGCCAGAGCAGAATCACCGCCAGCTCTTTCCTAATTGGTGCCCTGGGCAGGAGCCAAGGGGCAGCAGTGTCAGTCCAACAGCTGGAGAGCAGGCGGGGGGAACCGACCACTAGTCACATGCTGACTGGAACGGTCACCAGGGGCCACGGGCCAATCCTGGGCGGGGAGGGGGAGGCTCTCAGCAGGTGCTTAGCCAAACCTCTCCAAGGTGTCCGGGACACAGAGAAAGGGAGGAGCAGAGGCTAATTCAGAGGGGTCCGGTGCAGGTCAGCTATTTCAGAGCAATTGTCATTGTGTGTGCATCAAGAGGTGTGCAAAGGGGGGGTGCGTGCCAGAAGTGTGCATGCAAGTCATGCATGTGCATTCAAGGTGGTGTGTGCATGCATATGAAGAGATGTGTGTGTGAGTCAACCTGCAGCGACACTTGTATAGTGTGTCACGCTCCCAAAGGATTAGTGAACTGCACTGGAGAAAGCCGGGCGTGTGTGCGTATTCATGTGAGCGTTCACACGCCTCAGAGAGTGTCTGTGAGCGAGTCTAGCTGTGTGTGTAAACGGGCGAATGCGTGTTTGTGAGCACTCGGCTGTATGTTTGGGTGATGTTCGGGTGTGTGTGACTGTAGGTGTGTCACTCTGCAGGGGTTTGTGTATGCGTCTGAGGCGGCATGTGTCTGAATGGCTGCAAATTACTGGCGCTGTCTGATACGCTTCATGCACCAGAGTCCTGGCAGGTGCCGCACGCCTCCAGAGGGCACATCTCGGTGTATCGTCCTTCAGCTTGAGAGCAAGCAGCCCGGGGTTCTTCCTCAGTGAGGGTCTCCCCGCTCGCCTGCATGCCCCATGCGGGCGAGGCTCCTTCGACTCACACAGCTAGCAGCCCAGGGCTTTGCGCACACACACACACACACACACACACACACACACACACACACACACACAC